CAGAACTCAAAGAGGTGTTATAATGTCCATAGCAGCAATTAAAGTTTCACAAGAAAAGTGGCAATGTTCAACCATTTTGGAAAGTGGGAGGCTGGTTTCTTTCTGTCCTTGTGAACAGCCATTCAGGATGAAGGTGTCAACTCACTGCTTCTGTGGATTCCTGCTTAAGATCTTATAGGTGCTAAGAAATTACATTACAGAGGACAGAGGGAGCTTTCATCAGAAAAGGTGGATATCTGGGCCACTAACAGGCGGCCCCTCATGTTATCTGTGGGAGAAGGTGCAAATACAAAGAGGTAAGAGCTCCTCTTTCTCTGCAGTTTAGAGAGGTTTTTCATCAGTGTGATAAGTAACCTGTTGCTAACAGAGACCTGTGAGCACTGTGAGGGCCTTACACCAAATGATGCACATACTCTGGATTCCTGGGCTATCCAGAGGCCTCTTAGCACCAGCCCAAACCTAAGAAAACACAGTATCTTCCATCCGTCATTGTATCATAGCTGCACTTTCTGTTGAGTTTCTCTCTTTTCTAGGAGGGGGAAGAAGTTGGGTGGATTCAGCCCTGCTCAGGATCAGAAGCTGCACCATCTGAAATCCTAACTTACAGGTTTAATGGGATTTCAAGTTAAGGTGGAGAGCCCCGCTCAGAAACCCAGACAGGACCTCAGAAGAGGGGATCAGAAGCAGTTTGCACTGCTGCATCACCAGTAACTGTCCCCGAGAGCAGATCCATTACACACCGACCCAGACAGCAAGACTCAAAGCACTCAAACACTCTTTGCCTGTAGGACATATGTGTGTAGGCAGTGGACGAAGCTGGGAGCTTCTGGCTGTTCCTTTTTTATCATGATGTAGTCATGCCCTTTGGCTCCACTCTATACTGCAGTCAGAGATGAGAAGCATCTTTTCTGCCTCCATAGCCTGTATTTCTAGAACAATGTATTGCTTCTCTAAGTGGAGATCATGTGGCATTCCCATGAGTTCCAGGCCTTTTCTGCATTAAGAGATAAGTATTTTGAGGTGGAAAAGAGGTACGCAGCTTTGCATTAAATATGATCCACACATTAATTATAGTTTTTAAAATCATCAGAGTAATTTACATTCTCATCACGAGTGTGTCACCACACAAAAAGCCCTTCAGCAACGATTACTGAAAAATCTTTGCATTTCATTTTATTTTCTCTTTCAGTTCAAAAGAACTTTGCACAGTGCTGGCTGTATCTTCTTGTGCAGTCAACTGGCACATTTTGAACAGCTGCAGAGATTTGTGCCATCAAGAGAACAGCGATCTCAAAAACCAGAATATGAAAATGAAGTTTCAAGGCATGGAAATCCACCAAGAATATTCCAGAGTAAATGCAGCAGCATATACTTCCTGAAATATAAAATGCTCATGAAGTCGCTATGGGTTTGAGGACAGTGATTACTCCCCTCTGTTCACTGTTTGTGAGGCTGTATCTGCAGGACTGTATCAAGCATAGGTCCTCTATTAGATTTCCCAGTGAACTGAAGATGGCTAGGAGGGTGCAATCCATGATGGATGAAGAGGGGAGAGCTAGGTCTGTGTAGCCTAGAGAAAATGGTTAAAGGGGTTTCAGCTGCTCTCTTCAACACCCCAACAAGTGGTTACAGAGAAGATGGAACCAAACTTTTCCAAAGGGTACACAGTCAGTGACAGGACAAGAGGAACAGGCAGCAACTGTAGCAGGGAAAATGGGAACATGAAAAAACTTCTTCCCTGTATGAATGGCTAAGGGCTAGAAGAGCTTGTCCAGACAGTTGGAGCATTGTTGGATGGTGCTTGCACCACCTTTTGTGCACCACTTGAGAATTCCTGCATTTTCAAGATGGATCTGGACAAAGCTCAGAGCAAACAGGCCTGTTTGCTGGGAACAACAGAACTGCTGTTGTACCCACACCGCTTTGCTGGGCCTTGTTTACAGGATTGATCCTGGAAAGGCAGCAGGGCAAGACCACGTGCCAAGCTCAGCTCCAGCAGCAACATGGCACGAGCACAGCACTGCTTGCTTTCTGGGGTGGAGTTTTGCCACTGGAAGAAACGCATGCACTGATTTCCCTGTGCTGCAGCCGCAGACAGGGATTGTTCCAGGAACTAACCTGCTTTCTTTCACTGCCAAGGTTAACTCTGAAGTTTTTAGGCAGGAGTTTTTCAAGGGGTCTGTATATATTGAGAAGTCTCATTGGCTTCTAATAGCACTCAGACATTGAAGAGAAAAATAAATCACTTCAGTGGCCCTACACTACTGTATATTGATTTTGCATCAATCTAAAGTATGAAAATTATAACAACCTTCCAAAGCAATTACTACCTTTAGATAAATCCTAAAGAAAAAGCTACAAAGGAATATTGCATGTGGTGTTTTCCTTCCTTTTCATTCTAGGCTTTTCAGTCAACAGATTATCTTCTGAAGGCTCCAGCTGCTTCTTCTAAGGACATCTCTAAGTAGAACATAATCAAACCATTTAAATGCAGGAAACTTTTTCTTGCTCCCCCCTCAATCACATACAGAACCCCCCGCCATCAGTGCAAACATCTAGAGTCCAAAAACCAGCAACGCTAACTACAGGAATCTTTGGACTTTAAATCTTTAATAGGGACTGCTTACGAGGATGGACTTAGTGAACTTTAAACCTAGTGATTTTTAAGACTTTCACATTTTCAAACTTAACTTGATTGCGCATTCTCTTTTGCCTTTCGTTTGCAGCAACCCACATTCAAAACCACCAAAGCAGAGGTTCAGCACCTGACCATCAAAGCTGCAGCAGGACATAGCAGAGACACACAAACAAAACACTCCCTGTTTCATCAGGCTCCCAGCCCAAGAAGCTAGGACAGCATTTTCAGCCACCATGTAGAGCTTTGGCCATTTTCCTTTCTGGCAGTCAAGGCAAGACTAACTGGGACAGAGCAAGTGGTGTAAGCAACCTCAATCTCTGGGTTTTTTTTTGAGATAAGGAGTAAAACTGCTCATCAGCACAAGAAAATTACCCTCCTGGTTTCCTGATGAAATCTCCCACTTGCACTTGACAGGAAAAAAAACAACTCCAAAAAAAAAGCCAGATAATGCAGGACAATGGAACTATTCAAAGGATTTAAAATGATGCAGATGCAGGCTCTTACTCTATGACAAGTCTAAGTTATACCCAATTCCAGCTAGTTTATGATCCAATAAGCTACTTTTCTTTACTGCCCAGATAAAATCTTTCTACTCTTATTTTAGTCTGCCAGTGGTAAGCTCAGTCCATAAAAAAACAAGATTCTTTATTTTCTATAAAGTTCTTAGCTTTTGGTGATTTGTCTGGATTGTCCGTATCGCAAGTATTCTTATCAGCTTGTCATAAACTTGTATCCTTAGCAGAGCCACTGACTGAAACAAAGCTTAAACTGCTGCTGAGGCACATCAGTAGATACAGGCATAATTCAAAAACTAATTCTGGTTTCTTCACATGAGTTTTAACACTTGACCTTCTAGTAATTTATGGAGATTATTACAGCATAAAAAGATTAGATGGATTAAAATCAAGTCATCCTCAGGGTTGAGTACTGCAGACTGTGATGGTGATGAGGATTTAAAAATGATCCTGGTCTTCCACTTCAAATGCCAGAATAAATGCAGTGATGTTTCATGCCTGAAGTTTCAAGTTGCTTTTTTTTTCCTCATACACTTGTCAGAATTAGAAATTGTACTCGGCATATACCTCGATTCAAAAGAAATTTCTCCTATGCTGCTCTTCAGCCTAAGGACCTGCCAAAAAGGCACCTGTCCAATTGTAGCTCCTGATTGAAAGAACAAACTCAGACGTTAGAAAAGTACAAGGGCAAGAACTGATGTTTTATTAACCTATTTTACAGACTCTCAAGAGGAAGCGAGTCCTGTCAATGGGTCTTCACTGCATATCTCATCAGAGGACATGCCATTATTTCACTTTTACATCCCTCCCGTAAGAATACTCCCTCTGATGAAGTAGTTCAAGGGCAAGCATCACAAAGTGCTGTAGCAAGGTACAGCAAATGGATCCGAGCCACATTAGGACGTCACTGGTAAAAATAAACATGGTGAAACTCAGTTTGACAAGCAACACAAATATTTGCATCACCATGTGATTGGCATTGTCCTACAGAAGGACAATGCCTTGTACCTTGGGTCACTTTCCTTTCAGGTCCACTTGATACAAGTATAAAGAGTACTGCTGAAACTAAGCCACAAAGGATGGAATTTATAAGTTTCTGAGGTAGCCACTATTTTTTTCAAAGTCAGATTAGGTAAATTACCCTTCTGCACCTAAACAACCTCTTTTAGACATTTACTATACAACAATATCTATACCTCCACAGGGCTTTTTAAACTGTTATTTCAGCTATAAACACGTATGTTGCAAAATCAGAGATTACTCGCAACTGAAGAAATGATGGAGAAACAGATGACTGCAGCAGATTTGAAGGAAAGTCACAGACTTTTAAAACAGGCACATTTCAAGGTACAAGTCTCAGGTATGCTCAGCATAGCTGAAGATCTAGTAAACAACATTCACTAGCTGTGCCTGTCAAGCAATTTGTCACTCTGAAGAAGGATTTCAAACATCAGTCTCCGGCAAAATGCGTTCTGCATTTTTGTTTCCAGATGCGTGGTTTTGTTAACCAGGTTCTCAGTTATTTATCCTATACATGCATTTTTATGCATACTCACACTGATTCCCTTACCCATTTAAGAACGTGTGTAAGTAGTCATCAGACTGGGTGGTAGATGGAGTAAGCAATATTAAGAGAAAACTGTTGTTCCAGGACTAATGTGTTTTGAATGAAACAGGTGTTTTCTTCTGGAGGAATTCTCGATCAGTTACACAGGTAGTTTGTTTGTACATACCACTATTCCATTTCAAATATGGGCTTTAGCTTTTACTGGCGCATGGTCTGTTGCCAGCAACAGACAGAAACCCACCAGTAATAGAGAGCTTAAAATGGTAAAAAGAAGACACACTTGAAAAGAAATATCTTTATATACAGTATTCGCTTAAAAAATAAAATAGGTGGAACTTTAAAAGAGGAACATCCCATTCCGAATGAAATTTTAAAATACACTTCCATGCTAAAAGCACAAGTCTGGATGTCAGCCTCACAGAAGCTGCCAAGTAACAGAGAAAGAAACCTAATCTTTCACATTACTCCTCTCTGTGTCTTTGCTTTCCTGAATTACATGACTATTGGCATTTTTACCAGATTGACCTAAATCCTCGATTTTATTTTCTACTTCCATAGCACTGTTTTCCACAGGACTGTGGGAAGATTCTTCACCTATTTCTGCTTCCATTTTTGTGACTAAATCATGTTCTTTGTCTTCTACATCCATTCCTTCCTCTGTTTGTGCCAGCCTATGTTGAAGTTCTTCCTCTGCTTTACTTTTCGATTCCTCATCTTTCCTCTTTGCTTTAAACACTTCAACTCCCATCATCCTCAGGTAGTGAAGTCTCTCATTCCTGGGCACAAAGGCACGGAGTGATGTCTTCCCTTGCCAACCACACAGCAGTATAGGGCACTGAAGATCATCAGGTTTCCTATAAACAAGCAGTTACATTCAGTTGACTATGAGAAAGTTAATCTTCAAAACTTAACTTAATAGCCATACCCTGTCTGCACGTACATTAAGTGCACAATCTTTAACACTGAATGCATTTTATAACTAATTACAGAAGACAAGCAAATTTGTCTTAACTTATAATATCTAAACTTAACTTACTTAATATCTAAACAGACACCTGGCTGTTTACAAGCAAGCAAGCAAAACAAATAAGCTCAATGTTATTAAATTTCTGCAACAGGCAAAACAATTTTCTAGCTCTGGTTTCAAACCAATATAAGCAACAGCAAGATGAAAGCCTACATTTTAAAAGTTCTCAAGAGCTTCTAATACTACTTTACAAGAAACAGGAACAACAAAAAAGTTTAGCTTTTTCTATTCCAAATACTGGACTCCACAGGGTAACAACCAACCAAACATGCACACAAATCACATGCAGTGATACTGCGAACCTCTGGCAGAACTACTAGCTCTCCTTTACAAAGCTAAACCGTACAGCTGTTTTAAGAATACACAAGCAAGATAGCTTCTTTCCCTGTTATATTCTTTGTATCCTGTCTGGTGCTACTGTTGGCCTCACAGCCCCTCTATGCCTCCACTTCTGTTTTGGCCGAGTGAAAAATTCTTGTCTAAGTTATAAAACTGCATCAACGGAAAGCAACACATCTACTTACGCAGGGTCTGGGTCGTACTTCAGAACTATACTTCCCATTGCTACAAGGAAAGGGAAGGGGATGGGGGAACAAAACCAAAACAGATGACTTACTTGGTACAATGTTAAAATTACTGCAATTTGAAAATGTTCAAGAAAACAAGTTTTTAGACAGTCACAAAGCACGAGCTGTTAACAGTTATCTATGTCAGTACAGTGAGCTATAGACAGTTATCAGGTTTAATCTTTTTATTTTGTCTTTTTTTCTCCAGACCAAAGTGTTTCTATAATTACAAAAGCAACTGCTAACCCTGCTCCCACACAAACAAAGAAATCAAACTAAAAAAACATGTAGCGGATTACTTTACTCAGTGAACCTAGGAAGCCACTTTCACTTAAGTAAAATGAACATTAAGAGTATACCAGCCCAAACTTTAGAACAATTCTTCCTCCCATTTCATCTCATCAAACACTGAAGTACAAGGACCAGCGATGATTTGGAAATAAACACAAACAAAAGACAGAAAACCAGCCTTCCATTTCTTCAAGCATGCAGCACAAAGGAAATAAAAACTTATTATGACTAGACATTGATCCCCATATTTAAGAAAATAAAAACCTGAATAACTGAATTTGATACAGAAAATCATGATAAACAACTGCAGATGACAAACAGTTCCAGCTGGAGCACTAACACATAAATATCAGTAGCATATATAAAATCTATGGTCATAAGGTATTTTAAATGCTGCCTCACACCACCTTGCCACAGAAGTCACAAGTTTGGTGTCTTCTATTCTCTGGAGTTCATAAACGTTAAAGGCTGAGATCAGAAAGGACTACAGTTTGTAGTAGCACGCTAGGTTTTCATAATGCTTACTTATTTAATTACCAAGTCTATTTAAGATAAATCTAGTCAAAATTTTTAGCAGTTTGTGTGGCAGGATTCTCATAGTCTTTTCTATATATATATAAAATATATATATTATACTACATTATATATAAAAATATATATGTGTGTATATATATGTTACATATATATAAATATATACAATATGTACATACAATACTTTTGTCATAGCACAAATTAGAAGGCTTACCCATGTCTTTGACTTTCTTCTGTGTTTCACTGCTAAATTTACTTAAGAATGGATTTTCCTGGGTTAGCAGAATTTTAACATCTTCTATGCAGACATTTATAATCCTTGCATGAATGAATGGGTACAGAGTATAAATTCCCTGTTTAATAAATAAACGTAATTATTTCAAATTGCAATCTCTACTTTCTGAAGAAAATTGTTAAACAGTATTTTCTTTAGCTAATGTCAGAAAACAATTTTCACATTTTAAACCATACTGAAAATGCTAATTGTCATTAATCTGACAAAGTTAATGCCAGCTGTGCTATAGGCTTTAGGAGAAATGAAAGTATCTCCATTGAAAATACATTCTGAAATTACCTCTTGTGCTAATCTGAACGCACATCCAAACTGTTCCCCATCAGTGTTGCGAGACCAGACTTTTATCCCTGTGTTAATAACCTGCAAATGGCAAAGCCAAAGATTATCATTAAGGAGTACAAATTCTAAATTACCACTCTGAACTTTGCTTTTTCTCAACTGTTTTCACTAAAAGAAGGAATAAAGAATAATTCTGCTGTAATGCTCATTTGCACTGGACACTAAATTAAATTCATGGGAAAATTAATTCAAGGGAAAAAGGAATTCCTGCTATCAAAACACAATTCTCTCTCAACATAAACGTTTTTTACACCTCTTCATGTTTAAATCTGAACACTGTGAAGAAGTGGCAGTCTTAAAATGAGGGCAGAGAACTATTAAGATCTAATTTTAATTTTGAGAAAGAATTTTCTGGGCGATTCTGGGAAGGTCAATCAAGGCAGGATTTTTAAAGTGCACAAGTGCTTAATATTAGGACACGACATCCTTTGCAGTACCCAGAGTCTCACTACCTAACATAACTGACAAAACTTTAAGGAACTGGTGCATTATGTAGCCACTTCCTATATGTTAGGTAAAAGCGTAATTATTTATCCATCTCAAAGATCTTCTGCAAAGATGTAATGAGTATCTTTGAACACCTTCAAGATTTGATTTTACGAGGCCCTGAACTCTCTTACCTAGCTTTGAAGTTAGCTCTGCTTGGGGCAGGAAGGAAGCTGGACTAGATATCCCCATTCTAACTTAGATTATTCAACAAGTTGTCAGACAAATCTTTAGCCTTTGCAAGGCATTTTCTATGGGGAGTCATATAAAAAAAATATATATAATTTTCCCCTCTAATTCACAAAAAATACTTTTTATCCCATTACCATTCAGCTTAATAACTTTCCAAAATGTTCAGTAGTTGAAATTATTTAAACAATGTCCCCATGTAACACAGCCAGCTGATAATTCAGCTGAAGTTAACCATTATTTTTGGTAGGTTTCAAAGCTCTTAATACTTTTATAATTAAGGGGCTCATAAATACAACAGCCTTAATGTGAACTTGTGAAAGTAACTGAAGACCATGCAAAAACGCTGGTATACACACAGCAGTTATAGATTCCCTTCTTCTATTCTTAAGTTCCCTTGCATCTGCCAAAAAACATACCGATTTTAACCTTGGAGAGCGTTATTTACTTCTCAGAGACAACTCCTCATCTCTTGAAGAAAACATACATACAAAAAAAAAAAACAACCCAAACAAGGCCTATCAGAGGGCTAATCTATATAAACAACAAGATCTGCAATAAAGTTCAAGGCGACATTCACTGATGTTTATAATCTCTGTTGTGAAAACATGAAGAGATGAACCATACCTTCATCTTCTCACTGTTGTTCAGAAGCACATTCCTTAGCTCCTTAGAAACCATGTACAGCTGTCTCTTCTTTCCTTCTTGAGTTCGGGTTAGTAAATTCATCTTGGGAAATGATGGGTCCAATGCATAAAACTTCCTGTGGCCATAATACTTGTTTTGATTAACTAAGCAATGAAATTACATACTCAAAATGCATGGCTCAGCCCATTTCCTCAAGCTATCTCTGCAAACACTTAACTCTGGCTCCAGAACTAGACTTTCTAAGATGCATGACATCAGAAAAGACAAGCTGTCACAGACATGAAGATACACTTGAAAATTTCCAGTGCAAACTAGAGTTGGCTATTTTCATATAAGAGTTTTACGTGTTGAAGAGAGGGGCACCTGGTGCAAAGTCAGGGAAAAGTTTTATGTATGACTAGCTGGGCCCATCTTTTGTGATGAAGTGAACTACTGATATTCTTAAACTACTAGAAATCTTACAGCCAAAACAGAAACATTTTTTTCTTACTGGATAGGAAGGAACAATGGATCATCTTCAGGGAGAAACACAAAAGGGTCTTCTTTAAAACCAAACAATTTCATTTTTTTAGATGGTGGTGGTCTGAAAAGAAAATGCCACTGCAGTTTCAATTTTAATAAAAGTAGCCGGTTTAAACTCAGTATATTCAGTTCATTTAGTCAACATTTGTCTTATGGTAACGATAATATACCAAGCAGAATACTGACGTTTTCCTGCGCTTTATTAAGAAAACACTACCCCCAATTTAACTTCCTCATTTTAAGAGGTGAAAGCAACGCTTGAGAACAGAAACCGTAGAAACGGTAAAAAGAAATTTCTGAGGGAGTAATTGTGAAGACAGTAAAGATCTTCCAAAGGTTAACTTCTGAAAGTTGTTGTTTTTTTTTCCTTAACAGAGAAGAAAGGACTAACAGACTTTACAAATGCTAGCAAGAAAAGTAGTTATTTTCCTAACTTGCTGAAATACAAAACAGAGAATGTGGAAATAAAGGACAACTGATCAAATTAATTTATTCTTCTTGATCGACTTCTAAATGAGTCCAGTAACAAAAGAACTATAGAATACTCAGCAATTACGAATCTGTCATAGGACAAATACTGAGACATGGCCTCTTACCCACATACTCCTTCCTTTTTGCTTTGTTCAGTGTCTGAATTCTGCAATTCTTGCTTTTTCTTAGACTCTTCATTTTCATCAGGTGTTAGTTCTTCAGTAATATGTTCAGAACCATTATCTGAATTGGCTGCTGTCACTTCAGCATCTCCTGTTCTTTGTGGTAATTTCTGATGAGCCTATTTCAAATTGCAGTATTTTCAACAAAGCAGAAATAGTGTCTAAGTTGTAGTAAGAGGTACCTATATTCTCTCTTTGCACGTACTTAATGCTTATCAATTTGTATGTAAGGACTTAAACAGATCCATTTAGGGAGTTAATCTGATTACTAAATGAAGATACCATTACAAGTTGCATTTACCTCTAGTACTGATCTGGACAATTTCTTACTAACTGTTTAGGAAACCTATTTTTGTACCATTTACAAAATCGTGTTCAAGCACTCAAAGAGAAGACTATTTTAAGTCAGGATCTCCTGCTTTCCTTCTAGCACTCAAAATGACTCACATATCTTGCTGCTGCACACTTTTTGTAAGAGTGCTACAACATTAAACTTAGAACAGTATAAACTGTTTGGATGATGCTTGCTTCTGAATAAATGCTTCTTCCTTACTGCCACATACACTTGACTCATACAGTGTTCTAATGATGCAAATCAAATAAACAGAAACAGCTAAAAAGGGTACAAACAAGAAGTTTCTCTCAAAGATATCAAACAAATCATGTCAACTTAAAATCCTGTTGACAGGATTTTAAAGACAATTGACAACAAATGGATTAAAGTCAGGTGGCTGAAGCTGCTGCTGCTCCTAACAGGTTTATATCCATTCCCTGGCTGCTGAGCTGCTAGACTAATCTGTTGGTGAATCACTTCTGAGCAACCAGCCCAGAGTAAGATAAACTGAAATCAGAATTTGCTTACAACACAGCAGAAAAAAAGCCTTCAGCAGAAGGACGAAGAAAGTGACAGCTCTAGCTGCTCAACCTGATCTGCTTCTGTAGTTCTTTCAAAACCTTAACTTCGGGTTCAAGTTTTACCTTGCTATTTTACTATGATTTCAAAATCCCATCCCCACCCCCTTTTTTTTAGATTTTTTTTTGTTTTTTTTTTTGTGTTTTTTTTTAGTTCTTACAGGATTTAGGAACTTATTTTTAACTGACAATCTGAACTATGACTGAAAGGCAGATACAAAACAGTTATACTATATTTTCTATCATATAAGCTTTCCAAAAATAATCCAGAAATGTTAGTAAAAGTTAACATTTTAGCTCCTTTAAAAGAAGTTACCTTAGGCTGGCGTTTATTCCAAGGCATTGGTGATTTTTTTATTAACACAGCCACAAAGAAACCTCCTGTGTTCTGATGATGTGGCAATATCCTAAGACTAGAGGAGAAAAAAATGTTGCAATGCATTCATCATCAGCATTCAGGCTTTCACAGTACTAGAAGCATCACATTTATATTTACTTTCAGGGTAAAATCTACTCTTGGAAAACTTACCAACGCTCTAGATTCATTGCTTTCAGCTTCTCTTCATCTTTTACAGGAAACATAGTGGGACGTATTTGTGTTTGTCTATTTGAAGGCACATCTTTCCACTCTTCAAGCCACTGTCCATCTTTCAGCATTACCTTCAAAGGAGTAAATATAAATACTGTGAAGAATATGCATCACCATTTTACAAGTTTTAATTAAAATACATTCAAACCAAGGTTCAGATGCTAAAAAAGGCAAGTTATTTTCTGGTATAGTAAATCAAGTTCTTCAAAGTGTATTGTTTCTTTGTGCACTGTATGTGTACATGAGATTCTTGCCAGCTGTACCTCTTAGCTTCTTGTATGCTTCAAAAAGTGTGTAGTCAAGTACAGACTTGTGCAGAATAAAATCCAGTGATCTCTGGTAACTTGCTACAACATACAGACTGCCAAAATCCAAAGGAAGAGTAGTGGTAGAATACGTAAGAAGATTAGTAAGGCATCAAATTTAAGATACACTACTTTTCTGATATAAGACTGGCTGTGAAACATTCTGCTATAGGCAGCTTCTGTGCAATATACCAAGAGGATACTGCAGCATAAGGGTTTACAAACAAGGAATCCCAATTTCATTACATAAGAAAGATCCAAGAATGCAAGACAACAGCTTGGTAAGCATGGACCCCTGCCATAACACATATAGGTCATGATAAAGATGTTTTCAAGGGAAGTTACTGAAGAACCATAAATTTTGTAGTGCCTGTATTTTCAGCCAGGATTCAGAACTTAGACTGTAACTGCAGTCTAAGATTAATTACATAATACAGTATTATAGGGAACAAGATATACTCTTAGGGATCTTTATATATATATATATATATATTGTACCTCTATGCAGTAAAAATATAGTAAAATTAAAATCATAAGCCAGTTATGCATTTTACATTTATCCTTCAGTTACAAGCATGAAATTTAATTTTTCAGAACTTTCAGAAGAAAGAAACCAGCTGGTTTCTAGGCTGAATTTCCAATGGCAGAACATAAATCTTTATTCCATGCATCTTGTGGACAGGCATAAACCTGCAAACTACCATTGCAAGAGACTACTGAAATGGTGAGAGAAGACAGAGCCACCAATGGGGTCACTAAGGCACTCGCTCATAATCAGTTCATCAGAGCTTCTTTTCCTACTGCCAGGAAGAACTTCTACTCTTCTGGATTATACTCTTATCACGAAGCTGAAGCAGCTCTGGGGGGTTTTGCTCCTCCCTGCTAGTCTGTTTCCAGAACCAAAACCACGGAAGTTGTGGAACAGAATATATAATTCCACTAATATTCTAGGATTGCTCGCAGCACTGCAGATTTTATTGCTGACTTCCAGAAAGGGTTTAACAGCTTTTACTTCCAAATAACTCAAATGGACCAGCTCAAGAACTGTAAAATCTAACACTCACAGGCCGTACAGGCAGGAGGGGTAACTTGAAAGTGGCTGAAATTATGTTGCCACCTACAGGCCACATGCGCACGTTAGAAAAGGGAATTCTGTAAAATACAAGAGACAGCAAAGAAAGCTAGAGGAAAAAGATGACAGCAGATGAGGAAGTAAGAACTTACCATTAGAAAGGTTTTTAGCCCTCTCCCCTACAATGCTATATTGTCTAAACCTCTAAACAGCAAATCACTACTATTACTTCAGCTCAATCTTATGTTTTGAAATGTTAAATAAACTTCAATATCTCCCTAACTTAACACTCGACCACAGACCAAGAACTTCACAGAAGCATGAAGTGCAGTACCTTCCATTTTGTAACTCCTGGCATCCTCTTCAAACCTGGTAACTCAGAAGAGACATCGGCAAGTTCTAAGGCACCTGAAATCAAGAATATACACGTTCTTTAAAACAGATTTGAGAGTTGTATTCCTAATTAACTTTTACAAAGATAGTTTTCTGTCAAGTTTAAAGACCATTTTAAGACCATTGCTTTTTAAAATTTTCAAGGAACAAAATATTACAAAAGCACTGCGATGTAAATGAACTAGATGGCAAGAACTGTTCGTAATAACTCCGTATGTTTGCAACCTATAAATTAACCAAAACATAATGGTAAGATATTTTTTGCAGCAGCTGCATAGAGTAATACTGTACAACCCATATCATAAACGTCAGTGTTCCAGGCAATGCAGTCATAGAAGTTTTTATCCTCACTTACTCAGTATTTCTCAGAAAGGTACTCTTTTGGGATGACTAAGCCTTTTAAAATGCTTGACAGATTCTCATTTTATGGACTTAAAATCTTAATTTATTCTAGTGTGAGAGGAAAAAGAATTTTTTTTTTTTTTTAATGGAAAGGAAAATTTCAAACTGTAACAGAAAAGTACATGGAGGTGCTTAAACAGTTCCACAGGAGCGCCATGAAGATGATCAGAGAGCTGGTGCACCTCTCCCATAAAGACAGGCTGAGAGAGCTAGGGTTGCACAGCCTGGATAAGGCTCAAGGGAGACCTTATAGCAGCCTTCCAGTACCTAAAAAGGGGCTACAAGGAAGCCGGATAGGGACTTTCTACAAGGGTGTGTAGGGATAGGACAAAGGGCAATGGCTTTAAGTTGAAAGAAGGTAGATTTATATTAGATATTAAGGAAGAAGTTCTTTACTGCGAGGGTGGCGAGGCACTGGCACATGTTGCCCAGAGAAGTTGTGCCTGCCTCATCTCTGTCAGTGTTCAAGGCCAGGTTGGATGGGGCTTTGAGCAACCTGGTCTAGTGGAAGGTGTCCCTGCCCATGGCAGGGGGGCTGGAACTGGATGATCTTTAAAGTCCCTTCCAAACCAAACCATCCTATGATTCTATGACAAAAGGTGATGTGCCTACAATACATAATGCTACAAATAACATATAAATAGTCATGCTACAAATACATATAAAATAAATACATCTACAAATGACATCAACAGAGTATAACTTCCTCTACTGAATAAGAACTTAAAGCTGTCCCAACTCCAGAAAGAATGGTATAAAAACTTACTGTTTAAATAGGTGATCTCTCTAAAGAAGAATAACCTGAAAATTTCTTTTTTGTGATTCTGAATTCTAACAGCTAGGTAGGCTTTTCCTCATGTTGTACACAATTTAACAACCTGTTCTAAATGACTAACCATTTACTCTTACAGTAACACTTTAAGCAGGTCTTAAATAAATGACTGATACATGAATTTATGGATGAACTCCAAAAAGACATTTCAGATCTGATTAAACCTGTCCTTTAAATATTCCTGCCTACCTACAGCATGACTTCAACTGATACCTCAAGACTACATCAGACTGAGCAGGCACTAAATAGTTTGTCAGAAATACCACAATTCTCAGTAGAGAAACATGGTACAAAAGTGCCTTTTTCTTACTCCAGGCCTAAGGGGAAAGCAATCTCTGATCTGCTCTACAAGTAGCCATGTAACACAGTGCTAGGATTAACTTTACACCCAAGAACCAACAAATCTTCTAGACTGACCTGAGCAAATACTTGAGGTTCAATGCCCCCTGCAGACTACTGTGTTACTTTATCCTTCTTTTGCTACATCTACATTGAAGCCCCAAGGATAACATTCACTCACTGGGACACACCATAGCCTCCAAGTAAGCTTCAGAACACCTCCACTGGGCACACACAAGATCCAAATGCCATAATAGCCAGTCAAGAGCCTTATTTTCAAGTACTGAATTTGCCCAAGATGCTGCAATTGTTGGCCTCATTAACATCCATACTGCTCTATGCTCCTACACAAATTAGTCCTTACTGCTTTCCAATAACCTTTTAACTTAACTCTGGTGTACTACAGCCTTCAATAAGCCAAGCATACTATAATTTACATGAAACATGTCTACGTCGTATAACACGTTGTTCTCCCACTCATCTACCAAAGAAATTACCTCTAAATAAAAATGTCCTTTGACTGGAAATTGAATAGTCAGTTCTTACTTATCTCCAGGCATTTTAGCTAAACTGCTTTTCTGAGACAATGAAATTTCACACGTAATTGGTGGCCAGAACAGTGACTGGAACAAAGAAAACATTACATAAAAAAGACTAGTCTACTTCCAGAACCAGCTCAGCTCCAGAGGCACTACGACTGCTTCTGCTCTGTACAAGGCTCAACTTAGTCCGTGGAACTTTTAATGTGAAATCCAATTAGATATCTCCAAACTTCAGGTTACTGACTCGGAAAAAAGTGTCCATCCGCTCAAGACCAGAAATCTGAGCTACTAAACCCTACCATCACAAACTGGTGCAGCGCTGCTTCCCAGCTCATCTTAATTTTTCTACCTCTTGTTACTTCAGATGATAAAGACCTAACAGCAACTTAAGCAAGCCTTCAAAAACAAGTCAAAAGTGTAAAAAAACCCCGTAAGCTTAAAGACTTTAAAAGTCCAAGTCTGCCAAACTGTGGGTCAAAGGATGCTAAAGGTATCAGTGACCTCCACCTGCTGATGCACAGTAACATTCCTCTACCTGCTTAAGTGTACTCTGGGCTTTTTACTCCTGTAACATACAGCACTAGTGTCCCACACCATGTTTTCCAAAGGAAATATGAATATCAGACATGGAATCCAAACAGTGGAATCAGTTAGCAGAAGCCAGATAACACAGACCAAATTCCACTGATCTGTAGAAGTCTTTTGTGTATTATTAACACAACTTGTTCAGGTTTTATATTTGCATCCGATTTAGGCCAATTTAAGATGACTGCTCATATCAACACTGGTAAAATCCTACAGCTACCAAAAAATTGCTGCAGTTTTGCATAGTAGGAGCATGTTATCTACACTAAGCTTATTACTAGTTTCATACACATACTGTGTTTTGAGCTCAGGAAAAGATTTCCCCATCTTGGGAATTCTCACCTTGGCTCTTTTCCAGCAGAGATGCAATCACAGCTTCATTTTCAATGGGGTTCAACGAACACGTGGAATACACCATTCTCCCACCTTCTGCCAGCTGTTCAACACCACGGGTTGCAATTCTTAACTGCAATCTAACAGAACACTCTTGATGTAGCCAGGTATCATTCAGGAACCAGAAATATTTGTCATCAAGTTTCTTACATGTGAAGCTATACCGCAGGCACATAATGCTCCATGGGCTAAACAGCCTATACTGCAGACACACTCACATCTATTAAAACAGCAATTAGGTCAAACATTAACAGTACTGCATGATAACTTCTAACATAACATTCTGTATGTTGTTCTTTCTAGTGTCCCATTAGGTTTATTATAAAGTACTCCATACTAGAAAAATAACACCCCAAAACCTGGCTCTCCTTCTCAGAAATCTACAGTCAAAATGAGAAGCAATCTATTACAAATATTATAGACAACACAGCTTAGCTAGTATTGGCTTTCTGAGAAAAGTATCACTGAGCCAGATGATGAACTTATAACCTACTTGCATACTGACAACTAAAACAGAACCTGCAATTATGAGTTATCTAGCAGTAACACCACAGGTCAGCTGAGTCACAGTAACCGAGAGCATTCCCAGCTTGTTACAAAGGCACAGTAAAATGTTCTAAGCTTCTCCATCTGTGTTTAAATTACTGCTTTTTACCATGTGCCTGCACTAGGCTAAGTACTCATTCACCATCATTTAACATAAATAAGTCTCAGGTAACTGAAACCGTGTATGCATCATCTCTAATATTCTTAAGACTTTAAAACGTTTCTATTAAATCTTACAAGTTGCTGTATTTTCCAACAGTATTTTACCTGCCTAAACACTAAGAATCCCAACCAAATTATTTGTTCTCTCTTTCATTAGCTACCTTGTCTAAATGAACTCAATGAATGTTAGTATGTCAGATATGCTTAAGAAAACAAGCAATTTAGATTCACAGACTACACTCCTCTTATCTGAAACACTACACTTTCTCTGAATGGTACATCAGCTCTTGATCTGAGAGAAAAGTGACTCTTCTCAGTCTCTGCTTTGTTATATATTAACATATGAATGCATGCAGATGTTATCAGGAAAAGGAGCAGAGAGAAATGAAAGTGCAGATGTGTAATAAGCATTTTTACCCATGGAGCTGCAAACTGTTTTGTGTCGTCCACTTCTTCCATACATCAATGTTTTTCCTCATAGTTCCATCTCCACTGTAACAGAGGTCAAACAGATTTGTATTATTTGTGGGTGAAACTTATTTCGTATCAAAGTCATTTATAGCAGCAAAGTATTAACAATCCCTCTCCCACATTAATGAGTCCTCCTATGTCATATTGTTTGCTTCAATGCTATCTTTGTATTTCAGAATCCTGAGCCCAAGTTCAAAATTGGTCCAAACTTAAGTACCCCTTAGAATGAAAAACATTCACCTTGATTTGGTATCTTCTTACCCAAGAATTTTAAGGCATTCACCTGCTTTGGAAGTTACTATAAATCACAACTCACTTAAGAACTCAAAAAGCATAACTCAGTAAGACAAAAATTGTAACACTGCATTTAGTGCACTAAAATCTGCACACTGAAAATTGCATGCAAGATACCTGCAGGGGACGTCACATAAAATCCTGTCATAGAAGAGGACCTCTTTTCTTCCATCAACATCTATTTGTAGATTAGGAATGCTGGAGGCATCATGATTTACCACCATGATGCATGGACTGTTTAACCTCTTAGCCTGATGAACCAGCAAATAGCAGCGCTTGTTGTCGACATCATTAGCAATTACAAAACCCTCTGGAAAAAAAAAAATATTAGGAAGATGCTTTACTACTCAACAGCTAAGTAATTTTACATAGTTTACTGCTTTATCTTCAAAGTTGTGTAAGCCTTTCACTAAACATTTTTACTTAAAAGACTACTTACGAAGACAGGACCCCTTACTGAACATAAAATAACATGAAGTATGCTGAGGTTTAACTGATGTGTCAAATACAGTCTCAATAGTTCTAGCTTCCATGCAGCAACAATAAGTAACTTCTCAAAGTAAAACCTCTGTAACAGAAAGAACCTCCACTGCCATTGAACACAATCTCTGTACATCAGATATCCAGAAGAATCCAGAAAGAATCCACTCCCCCCAACTTCACAATTTCCATGGGCAGTATTTTCTGTGAGCATCTAACTGAAAGTAAAGATTCTGAAGCTTAAAAAGAAATAAACAAGATAAATATAATGACCATTCTAAGGCTAAAGCTCCTCAATCCAGTGTTTGCAGGATACAACTGTAACACAAGGGTTTATGGGCCACCACCTACTAGGTAAACCTGATATATATAAAAAAATTAAGTGCTAATCAGATCTACTGTAGTCTGAACTGTGAAGATATCTACCTGTATCTATATGTAATCTATCTCTCTCCTCTAGCCAAGGAAGCCCACAAAGTTTCAAAGCAAAGATGGGGGTATCTTGTATCATTCCAACACACTGGGGGTTCAAAAGGTAGTTAAAGGCAGTTACTTAACTGTGATAATTATAACAATCTTTTACAAGAAAAAGCAAAAATTCAAAGTCACAAAAGTTTTTGGTAGTTTTTCCAGACTTACTGGGAAAAGGATCATTCATGTCTGCATGTAGCATTTCAATCAGTTGGGCAGTCTTAGATCCAGGTGCAGCACACATATCTAGAATCTACAAACAGTAGAAAATTAAATAACAAGTCCTACCTTTACATGGTTTTTAAGTCTGAGAAATTTACTATGTGCTCCTGTTGAAACTAAATATTCTTGCATACAGTTGCAGAATTGTAATTGTTCTGAAGACCAATTTACAAAAACATAAAGTTCTGGTTTTTGTACGCTTTATCTCTGAGGGTCTAATATGTAAAAAGGACTTTAGTTTCTATGGAACAAATGCACGAGCTGAAAAAGAAAGATGTGGAAGAGAAATATGAATGTAGATGGGGGATATGGTCTTTTTATCATCTCAATTTCAGCTGAACTGGAACTTTACATACACACGCACATTAAAAGCAAAGTTACGCTAAAGAACAAGTAGTATTTTTCTTTAACTATCAGTAAATTAATCAGCCCAGTTAATTATACAGATTTCATAAAAATTAAGTTCTATCTCTCCCCACCCATTTGCATTTTAATGCCAAAAAAATCAGGGCAGTATAAACCGCTTCTTTCTAATATCCTTGAAGAAGCACTTGGAAATTACCTGAACTGTCCTCAGCAACAGCACAGAACAGCACAGCTACCAACACCTGATTTCTAGCATTATTTCTCACTCCTGGCTCATCACAAACTTGGCTTGTGGTGGAGTCATTCGTACAGTCACTTTCACAGCAAACCATCTGACAGCTAACACTGCCTTCTTAAGTAAGGAAGCTTACAGTCTTCTTGCATAGTTACATAAACATACAAATATCTTAGGACCTTTAGCACAAGAAATGTTAGCTGAAATTGTACAACAGTATAAAAGACAGGGATGGATCTGATACAGTTCCCATACAAGCTCTTGTCATGAACAAGACTAACCTGGATGACAGATCCCAGGGAGATGCAAAGAGCATTTATGGAGAGCTTCAAGGACCATGTGATAAGCACTGCTTAATGCATCATGAAACACACTCAGTAAGACACTGTCATGCCTGCCATTTAAAGTAACAGTTGTAACACTGACAGTTTCCACTTTTGCAGATAATGCACAAAAAAAACCAAGAATGCCTTCTCCTGGAAGGCATGCTAAGGCACATGAAAAACAAGGTGCTTGGTGACAACCAGCATGGCTTCACTAAGGGGAAATCCTGCCTGACCAATTTGGTGGCCTACAGAACTGATGGATGGGGTAGAGCAGCTGATGTCATCTATCTGGACTTGTGTAAAGCGTTCAACACTGTCCCACTGGACATCCTTGTCCCTAAATTGGAAAGACATCAACTTGAGAGGTGAACCACTCAGTGGGTAAGAACTGGCTGGATGGCCGCACACAAAGAGCTGTGGTCAACGGCTCAATGTCCGGCTGGAGACCAGTAACGAGTGGTGTCCCTCAGGGATTGGTGTTGGGACCGATCTTGTTCAACATCTTTGTCGCTGACATGGACAGTGGGATTGAGTGCGCCCTCAGCAAGTTTGCCGATGACACCAAGCTGTGTGGTTCGGCTGATACCCTGGAGGGAAGGAATGCCACTCAGAGGGACCTTGACACGCTTGTGAGGTGGGCTGATGCCAACCTCATGAAGTTTAACCATGACAAGTGCAAGGTCCTACACCTGGGTCAGAGCAATCCCAGGCATGGCTATAGGTTGGGCAGAGAAGAGATTCAGAGCAGCCCTGCGGAGAAGGACTTGGGGGTGTTGGTTGATGAGAAAATAAACATGAGCCAGCTTCAGTGTGCACTCGCAGACCAGAAAGCCAACCGTATCCTGGGCTGCATCAAAAGGAGCGTGACCAGCAGGTCGAAGGAGGTGACCCTGCCCCTCTACTCTGGTCTTGTGAGAATTCACTTGGGAGTATTGTGTGCAGTTCTGGTGTCCTCAACATAAAAAGGACATGGAACTGTTGGAACACGTCCACAGGAGGACCATGAGGATGATCAGGGGACTGGAACACCTCCCGTATGAAGACAGGCTGAGGAAGTTGGGGCTGTTCAGCCTGGAGAAGAGAAGGCTGCGTGGAGACCTCATAGCAGCCTTCCAGTACCTGAAGGGGGCCTATAAGGATGCTGGGGATGAACTCTTCATTAGGGACTGTAGTGACAGGACAAGGGGTAATGGGTTTAATCTTAAACAGGAGAAGTTTAGATTGGATATAAGGCAGAAGTTCTTTCCTGTAAGGGTGGTGAGGCACTGGAATGGGTTGCCCAGGAAAGTTGTGAATGCTCCATCCCTGGTGGTGTTCAAGGCCATGTTGGATAGAGCCTTGGGTGGCATGGTTCAGTGTGAGGTGTCCCTGCCTATGGCAGGGGGGGGATGGAACTAGATGATCTTAAGGCCCTTTCCAACCCTAACTATTCTATAATTCTATGAAGAATAAGCAAGTGTAAACATGCTTCAAAATTGTCCAGCAAGCTGATTGTGAGGGAAAACGAAATTGTGAAAAACAGATTAAAAATTAACACAACCACAGAGTGGTTTCACGGACATCAAGCTGATTCTTCCATAACAGAATTCTGTACCAGCCTTGATACTGCTCTTGTAATTTGTAGTGTAATCAAACTATCTGCTAGGAAAAAATCCAGTACACAGTATATTCTAGAGTTACCTTATGATGAGGGTTAACATTAAGCAGCAGAGGTGGGATCATACTAACAGCCTCCTGTCGACTGATATTTCCCTTGAAAGGAACAAAAGAACAAAAATAAAGATCAGCACCCCCTCCTTTTTATTGCACAAGAGAGCACATTTCCCTTGCACTACCTTTTTTAATCTCTATAAAATAAAACAATCTAAACCACACTATTATAAATTCAGGATTGAAATTTGGTAGCAGGTAACAACAAAAATCAACATTTTTCATCCAACTGAAATCTCTGGTAATTGCACATTTGTTCTAATTTTGTTAAACCTATAGATATAATTTCTGCTCAGAAGAGATGAGAAACTGGATTCAAGCAAGTGAGAAACATGCATTACTAAAGGTAAGTGTTGTTACGTATGCACACACGCTTTTTACAGAATTTAAACACCTATTTTCTAAGAGCAACTCATTATTTCACAGGGACTCATTTTCACATTCTCAAGCAAAAAACAAATGCAATTAGCACAGGAGAAACATTTGTAACTGCAGTTTTGCAGCAGTGGTAGGATGAATCACTGTCAACACCAACACTAAATCGAGATTCTTCTGAGCTACTCAGCTGCTGAGAGAAAAGGTGCGGTCTCAATGTCTCATAACACAGTTAAACAAAACACGGCTCGGGATTTGCAAGAGAAAAGAAACAAATCAAGGTGTATCTAGGACTTACACATTCTGTCTCGCTAACCAGAAACTGATGAAACTTCTCCAGCTGTGGTGACTTGCGCAAGATTTTTCTGCTCAGGTTGGTGTGCCAGGCTAGCTCTTCTGGATACCTGGGGCAAAGAGGCAGAAGAAGAGCAAAGGCAAATGAAACCAATTCATGAGGCTGGATGCCGGGACTGCACAGGATGCCTGTTTGACTTGCACCTCGCTCACCAGCTCAGTGCCTGCGGCATTTCGACTTTCTGGCCATCCACTTCCAGGTCCTCCAGCTCCTTGAAGTACTTTTCCTTTAAGCAGTGGAGAATCTCTCTGGCGTGGCTGCACAGGAGGGAGGCACATAGGATGAGGCAGGATGGGGACCCGCCTTCCCCAGGCGGCAGGTAAAACCGGAGGGTACCTCCGAGCCCGGGGCCCCCTGCCAGCCCCTACCTGCGGTAGCCGGTGATGCGCAGCGTGGCGGGCAGCGGCTCCCTCAGCGCCGCCATGAAGTCTCCCCACTCTCCGTCGGGCACGATGCCCAGCTCCCGGTAGTACCGCTCGAACAGCTCATTCTCCTTCACGATCTCGGGGTAGCCGCCGGCCCAGCCCTGAAACACGCCGGCACCGTCAGCCCGGCGGCGATGCCGCTGCCCTCCCCGCCCGGCCCGGCCTGGCTCTCACCGCCTGGTCCCCGCCGCCGCCACCGCCGCCGCTGTCACCGCCTCGCTCCTGCCGCTGCCGCTGCTGCTGCTGCTGCTGCTGCTGCCGCCTGCGGTCGCGCGCGCGGCGGCCCATGGCGGCCAGGCGCCGCACGAGCCCCGCTACGCGCCCAGCCGTCGGTGCGGCCTCTCCCGCCCCTCACGAGCAGAGGGGCCGCAGGCACACACACACACGGCTGCCGCACCGCGTGCTCGCGCCGATACGCGCATGCGCTGGCCCTACCCCCAAGGAGCGCCGTTCGGGTCACTTCCGTGCCGCCGCCACCGGGGCGGAACTTCCGATCCGCAAGCGCCTCTCCCGCCGGCGGCAGCCCCACCAACCGGAGGGTGGAGGCAGCGGTGCCGGTCACGCCCCCCCACGGCGCCGATTGGTCCGCGGCGCCGGTGGGTGTGCCCTCTGCCGGCTGATGAATGGAGGCGCCGGGGCGCCTTCGGCTGTGCGGTGTGCGATGGGTGTCAGCGACGTTTGCGGGTTGTGGCTGCGGCTGTCGGGCCCGGAGGAGCAGCGGCTGCTACAGCTCCTCTCCTACGGGCTGGTGGCGCTGGGCGCCGGCTCCGCGGTGCTGCTCCGCTTCATACACATGCCCTATGGGCGTTACTCCTCGCGGCGCTTCGGCTGGCTGCTGCCCGCCCGCCCCGCATGGGCGCTGCAGGAACTGCCCTCACTCCTCGTCCCGATCTGGCTCGCTGCCTGCGGCGGGGCGGTCTCCGCCGCCTGGCCCAATCGCATCCTGCTGGGCTGTTTCATCGTGCACTATGTACAGAGGTGCGGCGGGGTCTGCGATGGAGCGCTCGGAGGGGGCGGGGGGAGCTCCTTTCTGGCTCGCCTGGAGAGCAGGAAGGACGGGGGGGTGGTGGTGGTGACATGTAAACGGGTGTCGTTCTGCGGCAGTTTAGTGCCAGTCCCGGCAAAAACACCTGGCTGCTGCTCTCTGACTACAGGGACTGAAATTCTGCCTTTGATTAATTATTATTAACTCTTACTATTCGCTGTAACAATCCCTAACGTTTTTTCTGTATGTGTTAAGATGCTGTAGGTTTTTACATGAGCTGAGCAAGTAATTGTGGTGGTGCCGTGCTCGCTGCTTTGCCCTGCTGTGTGGGGTGCGGTGGAGTGCTCGGGCATCTTTCAGAATAGAGTATTTGGTGTTGTAAGAGTACAATGTTCCAACACAGAAAGGTCCGCTCTAGGTGCTGATACAATTTTACTATGGGGAAGTGGTAGTGATTTTTCAGTTGCGTGGGGTTTGCTTCGGGCGTTTGACTCGATTCTTGTTTGGACCCTCCCAGCTCAGGACATTCAAGGATTAGTTAAAGCACCTGCAGAGCTGGAGCTGAGTGCCCCGTGTTACTATGCAGTCAATGGTATTTGGATATTCTGTAAGCTACTTAGGAGAAAGGAGACTGACTAGAGCTTAGGCAAGATTCTGCTGTTCCCATCAAGTCATGGTAGCTACTGGTAGTACTCCACAAGTGATAATAAGGCAGAGAAAGATTTGTCAGGCTAATTTTGAGTGTGTGATATATGTGTTGGTATCAGCTATGTACAGTACTTATTATGATGAACTGTTTGTTTTAACCAAAAGTATTCCATATCCTGGTGGTAGAGAAGAATGCAATGTAGAGTTGGCCTGGTGGCTAACTGGCTTTGCAAACCCAGGACTGTGTCTTTACTCCCTCTTTTCCAGCCTTACGAATAAAGAGATTAGGGTTGACATGGGATGTTAACTCATCCTCTGTGTCTGGGAAAATCTGGAAATGAAAAGGCAGGGCTTGCACAGAAAGCTGAGCTGTACTGCAGTTTCTTTTTTTCCAGTTGCTTTACTGCTGTCTCTGAACAGAGGGACTGTTCTGTAGTTGAATGTAGACTGTTACCCATTTGTTGTAACCTAGCGGTCTTTAAGTAATTTAATCATATTAATGATTTTGTTACGCTTTCTTGAAAGCTGTCACGGCTTTGCTTCCTCTGAAGCCGTAATCCTGGGGTAGCTGGAAAAACATGCAAAGAAGGCTCAGGCTTCAGTAATCCTGTTCCTGTATCATTATAGATTGCAATTAAATTGATAGGTGATGGGAAGTTGGCTAGCCATGAGAGACAAAGCACAGAAACCCTCACCCGCTTTTCTTGTTTGGAGCCTGTTTGTTTACTCATGATGTAATTGCCAGGAAAAGCAATCAAGATTCCTTTCCAAAATGAGATAGCAGCTGTGGATTTGTCACCTGCCTTTATCAGGTGTCATAGGGTAGACCAAGATTAACAAGGCAAAGGCGAAATTAATATTTTTAGGTAACCTTAAGAGTAAGGAGGAAACCAGGTTAATGTCAAGAGGATTGACTTTCCCCCTGGAAGTGCTGGTGGATTTGATGTAGGGATTGTGAGACTTGGCTTGTTTCAGAAAGCTTAATTATACTAATGAGGACTCAGGAGCAAAGGAGGACAAAAATATGCTTAGAACATCAGTTGGCTTTACTCCTATTGCCAAAGTAATTGGCTTGGATACAAGGTTCAACACTTCTGTCATAAGGAGTGAGAGGACTGATAGGGTCCTGTTAGGGTGGTGAGGCACTGGAATGGGTTGCCCAGGGAGGTTGTGAATGCTCCATTCCTGGCAGTGTTCAAGACCAGGTTGGACGAGGCCTTGGGTGATATGATTTAGTGTAAGGTGTCCCTGCCCATGGCAGGGGGGTTGGAACTAATGACTTTAAGGTCCTTTCCAACCCTAACTATTCTGTGATTCTATGATCTTGTAATTCTGATGAGGCAACAAAATCATTTAGGTGTCAAAACAAGTGTAACTCTCCTTCTGAAATGGGATTAAAGACTGCTGAGACTTTCAAAAGCAGGATAATATGGGCTATGGATTACCGTTCTGGACATCAAAAATATCTTTTCTGTTTGTTAATGCAACAGTTTTTCTTTCCTTGTCTGTTATAGGGCACTCATATTTCCTCTTCTGATCCGGGAAGGAAAGCCAACACCATTTTTCACTTTTGTGCTGGCGCTTCTGTTCTGTGTTTACAATGGATATTTGCAAGGCCGAAGCTTAAGCAACTATGCAAAATACCCTTCAGGCTGGTTAAAAGATCCGTGTTTTATTACAGGTGAGTTAAAACATGTTATGAGAATATTAGGTGTAGTTTTCCTTTGTCTTCACAGCTTTTTATTTTTCATTATAATTTTATAGTGTCTTCAATCCCATTTTATAACTTTTCTCATAGTTAATTCTTCCATTTGCTGTAGCTGGAAGCCTTTAACCTGTTTTCTTTTAGAATTGTGAACTGGCACTTCTTCCCACAATGTCAGTCTTAGCTGAGCTAACTGTCATATTTATTCTTTAACACCAAAGTAAATATGGGTCATGTGGTTGGTGGTTTTTTTGTTGTTTTGTTTTTGAATATAAGAACTTGAGGCCTGAAATGAAACCATGCAGGTTTAGAACAAACAAAGCAGACTTTCCATATAATATGTAGATTAAACTGAAATCCCTTGTTTCTCAATGTTGTGGGTAGTAAAGTTTTGTATGTGGCCAAACAGAAGTGAATGAATTCATGCAGTACAAATCCAGTAAGGGTAGTTGCTAAATACCAAAATACCATTTCTAATGCCGAGAGTCCTCACTGCTAGGGTATTTAGGCGTGCACGCACACTCATGCACCAACCCCCCCCACCCCTGTAATATGAGTGGGCTTTGCCGAGCAACATAACTGGTCCCCCAAGAAGGGTTTGGAGAGGTGGATCACTCACTCCTATCAGGAAATGAGGTTGCATTTATAGTTGAAGTCATGCGTATGATTAAAAGGCTATGAAGTCTAGTGGCACCAGGAAGTTCTTCTTGATCTGAGGATAAACCAGAATATTTTTCCTTATCATTCAAAGGCATAATACTGGGCTGTGTGGATCCTTGATCTGACCCAGTACCACTCTTGCTCTGACTCTGGAATAACAAATCGGTGTTTCTCCTAGATTTCTCAAGACTTTTAAAATAAGCAGCTTTTATCTTTACTGCAGTGTTACTGTGGATGACAATAGACTGCTGTGTTAAATGCTGTCGTGACTATAAGATTGACAAAATGTAAATCAAAATAGATTGTCTTGCCAGGATTAGGAGGTGGTACTGCTTGTGTTCTAAAAATGGAGAAATTGAGGCACAAGGGAATTACTTCAGTGGGCACTTGAAGTGCTTGAAATTCTCTTGGTATTTTTGAAATTCCAATCTTGTTAAACTTGGATCTGACAAAAAAAAAGATATTAAAAGACTGGTGGATCAAAACTGTTGAAGGCTGGTGCATCATAGATTTGTTTCTGATGCCCTAGTTTAGTACCTTAATCAAAAGATATCTCAATATAGTGCTGTTAAATCATGAGTCAGGAGCCATAAAACAATTCATCCTTACTGTAAGATCTTAAAAACTTAAGGTCATAAGACTGCTGCTCAGGTTTCATTGGTTTGTTTTTTGCATCAGTGATTTCTGAAAGATGTAAATGTATAAACAATAGCTGGATTCATGTGCCTTCTGTTGTGAATACTTCTGTGTATGAAATAGTTTAGTTTGGTTTTGTTTGCTGGGTTTTAGGTTGGTTTTTTTTTCCCCAAATAATATCAGTTTGGAATATATGCTAGTAATGCTAATTGTAAGCAAAGTGTTGCTCTCATGACTGTTTTGAGTCAACAATATTGCTTTAAAAAGTTATCCTGAAAACTATGAAAGTGAACATTCCTGTTAATGGTATTAATGTTACTATTATGAGTACTATTAATTATTAGTATTACTAATTAATGCTGTTATCAGTTCTATTAATAGTACTATTAGTAATGCTGCTATTAATGGTAGCAACCATTTTGGATGTCACTTGCTGACTTTTCTGAGTGTTATTACAGTAAATCTTTAGTTTGGCATGGCTATGAAACAGCCAAACCAAAGATGTCTTGTTTCTTATTGTACTAGAACATCTTTTGGGCTTTTTGGGGTTTTCTTTTCATTTTGTAGTGCACAGCAAGATAATTGGAACACAGATGATACTTATAATTATTTGGTATTCATCTCAGCTAGGTATCACCAAATTTGCAGTTTATGCTTGTAGCTTTGTTC